ACGATGATATAAGTAAGTACCTAGTAGCAGTAAAGAAGTAAAACTTTATCATCCGTGAAAGGCGTTTGTATTTTAGTAGGTACGTAACATATAGTGTAATTTAGTGACACGGTTGAACACGAAAAATAGGACACAAATCTAAGCCCTCAGAGATTGCGGCCCCTCGTAGCCACTCGTCTGCGAAGGTTGCTAGTAGCAGCGAAATACGACTGTTTTCGTTGGAATTATAATTCGTTGAATGACGATATCACCAGCACTTATTTATCACACTGCTGACAGAACCCATAACACAAATCATTTGGTACATGAGGAACAGATTTAGAACCTGCTGCGTCTAAACATACTCCGCTCATAAACTTTTAGTTATACCGGCAATTTACCGGAACACCCATTTTATGGTACTTACGTTAAAATTTGTGGCTTATTAGACAAAGAATTATGACTTGGGTCATTACGTGAGGTTTATTGCTTTATTATATTTGTGCGAGAGGAGCTTCTTGCAATTATTCCTGAGCTAGCATTTGGTCGACGTTCACTTTCGATCGTAGCTTTGAGATTTTATCAGCACTTAACATCATTTGCCTACCTCGCTACAAAAAAAAATATTAGTCCATACTGACGCCATATAAGGTGCCGTCTTCCTCTTAGAGAATAGCGGCGATATTATCGCAGCAAAGCAACGGCTGACTGATTGCTGATGACCTGAGACGTAAATAGCGACTTTAAGTCTTGTATCATAACCTGTGACAATATAACCCATGACCGTATGTATATTCTAAAAAATATGTCTTGGAACAATAAGCTCGCGCAAGAAGCGACTATTTTATGTCTTCTGTCAATATCTTGTGAAAATATACACCATGAAAAAATGTGTATTTTAAATATATATATATATTCTAAATATACACCATATATATGTGTATATATGGTCACGTGAGTAGCTACTTTATGTCTTGCGACTGTGTGTCTTGCAACAAGCTATCTTGTGATATTTATTGTAACAAGAAGACAATAAATATATCCCGCAACAATCTATTAGCAATTAAAGCTAATTTTATATAGGTATACGGGATTGTTACCATGTACCTTGTTTTTAATGAGTCTCCAATATTTCGGCACTGTTGCAAGTACCATGATCACGGAGTACTGAAGTAATTGCGGATAGATGTTATTGGCAGACATATCGGTCTACCCTCTGACGTCGTCTTTTATTTGAAATTGAATGAAATTCTTGTGTTTCGTTATTTCAATCGCTTCCCTGACCAATCTTGGTATGTAGTGGCATTCTGTCGAGATAATTTGTGGATTATGGAGCACAATCCAGTGATTAGATCCCGAATCAATTAAATGTTCCGCGATGGCTGATTTTTGCGTACCTATCATTATTTCTGACTGCTTTTATGTGTTCTTTCATTCGGCACACTATTGTCCGCTTCGTTTGGCCAATATACGAACTACCACAGCTGCAGTCAATCTTGGATACACCAGGTTTTTCCAAGAGGAAGTTGTCTTTGGGGTTTGGGTTATTTCGTAGAACCTGTAACACTTTTTGTAAAGGAGTGAAGACAGTATTCAGTGAGTACTTATTAAGTATGTTCGAGATCTTGTCTGCCACTCCTTTGATATATGGCAAAAATAGTGGTTGCCTGTCTACTTTGTGTTTCTGGTGTCTTAATTTGTGTTTGGGTGGAAACTTTCCCTTGTATCCATTATTCTGTCCAAAACCCGCCGTACGTGTTCCAACTCTTCGTGCAGGTGTTCCTTGTCACACAAGTCATATGCACGGTTCGTTAGTGAAGTGACTACAGAATTTAGATATTTAGGGTGGTGATGCGAGGAGGCGTTGAGATAACGGTCTGTGTGTGTAGGTTTGCGGTGAATGGAATGACTCAGCGAACCGTCATTCCGCACCCGAATCTTCAAATCAAGAAAGGTCAGACTCCGGTCTTCTTCCATCTCATATGTGGACTGCATTTTGATATGGACTCCATTTAAATTTGCCAAATGAGCCTCGGCATCTTATTTGTTTCCTTTTACAATTCAAAATACGTCATCGACATACCTCTTCCATAGTGCAATTTCTGTGGAGGCGGTGGCGAAAGCTTTTTCCTCAAATACTCTGTCCATATATTGGCAACTACTGGAGCTACCGGACTGCCCATTGCCACCCTATCTATTTTGAGGTAGTACTGACCCTGGTTTATAAAGAAGTTCATCGACAAACAATGATGTAACAACTTGGCATATTCTGTCGGAATGCCATTGTCCTGCAACTTTACCTTTACTACTTCCAGACAGTCCAACACAGGTACATTTGTAAAAAGTGATTCCACGTCGAAACTAACCATCAAGTGATTGTCTTCCACCATGTTTTGGTGTAAGTTTTCTACGAAGTAGCGCGAATCCTTTACAAGCGACGATGTTCGTTTCACTAACGGCTGCAAAATTTTTGCTACGTGTTTGGCCACTCCATACGTAGGTGAGTCTATCTGACTCACAATCGGATGTAGCGGCACATTCAGCTTACGTATCTTAGGCAGACCATATAGTTTTGGAGGTTGGACGTTTCTAGGACGTAGCAAATATTTGACGGTATCGTCATATAGAGCGTAGGCATATTCCTTTATAAGTGAGCGAGTGCTTCGATCAGTCCTCGCCGTTGTCGACCACGGAGTTAACAGTCGCTGCACATTCAGTTCCCAAAAAGGTATGAATTTCGCAATTACACCCAGAGGCATCCCCTATGAGGAGGTGATTGGGTCGGTTGAACAAGGGATCATGCGTAACAAGATACCAACAATTGATGCGGATACGCTTAGACAAGATGTTGCTGTGGTGTTACGTCATATTAAACCACCAAGACCGAATATTACTTCCTCCGAATCAGCTGCGTTACAAGATCTTCGAAAGAACAAGAATATAATAATAGTTAAAGCTGATAAAGGGAAGGCGACTGTCATAATGGACATCACTGAGTATGAAAGTAAGATTCATAGTCTACTCACTGATGCAAACACGTATATTAAGGTGAATTTACAACCCAACGGCGAGAACTGATCGAAGCACTCGCTCAGTTATAAAAGATGTGCCTACGCTCTAGACGACGATACCGTCAAATATTTGCTACGTCCTAGAAACGTTGGGCGTTTCTAAACTATATGGTCTGCCTGAGATACATAAGCTGAATGTGCCGCTACGTCCGATTGTGAGTTAGATATACTCATCTACGTATGAACTGGCCAAACACGTAGCAAAAATATTGCAGCCGTTAGTGGGACGAACATCGTCGTTTGTAAAGTATTCCCGCCACTTCGTATAAATCTTACACCAAAACAAGGTGGAAGACAATCACTTGATGGTTAGTTTCGTGGAATCACTTTTCACAAATGTACCTGTGTTGGACTGTCTGGATGTAGTAAAGGTGAAGAGAATGTAACCAGTGGTAGGGGTATCGAGCGCAGTAAAAGACGACGTCAGAGGGTAGACCGATATGTCTGCCAAAAACATCTATCCGCAATTACTTCAGTTACTCCGTGATCATGGCGCTTGCAACAGTGCCGCAATATCGGAGACTCATAAAAAATAAGGTACATGGTAACAATCCCGTTAATAGCTATAATGTTAGTGACCATGAAAGTTTAAAACAATATAATCTATTAACAATATCCTGCCTAATCCCAAAAAAAAACTATGCACTACATAACCCTTTCATTATGTGGATTCGACATCAAACCTCCAAAAAAATACAGACCCAAGCACGAAATTTAACAGCTCCGTTTCCAGTAACTTTCTATGAAAACTAAGCAGCGCATCTACCGGATGTAAGAATAAACTAGCTCCTTCGACGATACGATTACGGAGAACTTTGATGATGGCGATACGATTATGGAGCTGCCATGATTCGTGCTTACGATTCAACACATTTTATAATTTCTATTTCTCATGGGTATCCCATGCTGTATTGGGGATTAAGCATGGGAGCTTTAATTTCCATCTAGGGTACGTGATATGTAAAGTAAGTTGGTATGTCGCGGTTTTTGATAAAGGTTTTTTTTTTATGAAATTGTGGAGTCACGCAAACATGTTTTTTAATTTCGGTGAGTTCAAACTTGGAAAGGTCACGATGAAACAAAATTTCATTTACAGCGTCAGCTTTTAGCACGGCAGTTTATTTTTAAATGATTGTTTTCAATGTGACTGTGTATAATAGGCCACAGAAATGTACATAGTTTTGTATAAAATGAAACAAGCAACTTCTTTAAACGTTTTATTATACGCATTATTCCTTGCATAGCTTTGGAGGATTAAAAAGTGCTAGAGCCGTACAAATAATTTCATTTTCATAGTTAAAGTTTGGTTAATGGTGTATTCGGCTCGGATATAAAAAATTAGTAAAACATCAATTATGTACAAAAGTTTCCTCATTAGGAATTAGATGCCTGTACAAAGACATATATTTATTTAAATAAGTAGATAGCGTTTTCGATACTGCCCGATAAACTTTTATACGCCATATTTTTTTTTTTCATTTTTAGCACGTCGCATTATATTTTAATTGTTATAAAAAAATTTGACCTTATGAATAAGCATCGGTGGTTCAGTGGTAGAAAGCTCGCCTACCACATGGGCGGCCCGACTTTAATTCCTAGTCAAAGGAGGATCTTTTTTTATTTTCACTTTTTATAAAACAGATTATCATCAACTAATTTCACTTGAATCGTAGTTTTTATTCTCTGTTTAAAAATGCTAACATATAGCATCACTATCATCATCATCTCAGCCGTACGACGCCTATGGCTGAGCTGGTAGCCTCCCCCAAGGATCTACACATGGATCGGTCTAGCGCCACGCGCATCCATCGGCTTCCCACGACCAGATCGTCAGTCCTCCTAGTAGGGGGCTTGCCCACCATATAGCGCGTTTTATTTATTTGACCTTTAAAGTCCTTATCGAAAGATATATGTTACACTTTTAATCAAATTATTTTTCTTCTTTTACAGATGAAGTATACCAGTCAAAGCCTATTATGACTTAACCCGGAAACCACTGGAAAATGACGTGCCCATTCCGCCGTGCGTCGTCGCAGCATCAGTTCGCGAACGGAGCCGGCTCTGGCGGCAAACGGCCGGAGTTCCGGTCACGGCAGTCGTCCGTACACCTGCCCGGACCGGATGAGGAGGATCACGGAGAGAGGAACACGTTGACATTAAGGAACTTAAGCGAGGCGCTTCAGCTGCTGACTGCGCCGTCGGTAAGTCAAAAGCCATATCTTTCCTCTTCTTTAGTAGTAAATTAGAATTAAGTCCCTTAGGAAAGGAACATGGCGAGTGGAACACGTTGACACTGAAGAACTAGAGCGAGGCGCTTCAGCTCCTGACTGCACCGTCGGTGAGTCAAAAGGCATATCTTTATCCTCTTCTTTAGTAAAAGTAATTTCAACTCTTGAGAGAGAAAAAGGGCGAGCGAAACTCGTTGGCATTGAAGGTCTTGAACGAGTCGCTGCAGCTGTTAACTGCACCATCGGTGAGTCAAAAGGCATATCTTTCCTCTTATCTAGTGTTATATTAGAATGAAGTCCCTTGGGAAAGGTACATGGCGAGTGGAACTCGTTGGCATTGAAGCTCTTGAGGGAGGCGCATCAGCTGCTGACTGCACTGTTGGTTAGTGGAAAGTTATAAATATTTTAAACACTTTCCTCCTCTCAAGTAGTAGTAGTAGAATTTCGTCTCTTGGGACAGGCGAAGTAATTGATACATTGCCAACACCCTATTTCTTTTGAGATTGGTAGTATTTAAATTTTCTTACTATATGGAAACTGCGTCTGCAAGATCTAGCTTTAGTTACAATCTGTCTTCACATCTGAACTACACTCAAACTCTTCATAGAGACTTTAAAGTAATATCCAGAGACATTAAAAAGGTTTTTGTTTGGTCTTTTATTCAAACAAATGGGGGCCTAAACTAAACTTCAAAGATTGTATTACAACTATATTCTATATATTTATCATTGCCAGTTCAACGGATATAGGCTTTGATTTGGCCCCAAATTCAGAGTTGTAAGAAAAACGTCCCAAATTGTCCGAAACATCGCAGTTGATGGGTCTACACAATAAAAACTCTGATAGATAAAATTCTTTTTACACAATAGACAACAAAGCGTCTATTTCACATTGATTTTGAGCAGGGATGGACGTCGTGTAGTCGCCTTCTTTTGTCAGAGTTAATACACATTACAGTCGATAAATATTAATAAAGCGAAAGAGCGAATATTGAGAAAATTAGGTGATTTTAATTAATACTTATTGGAATACATAAAATTGGAACATAGAAAGTTTGATTTTGTACTTCTACTGTTTTTTTCTGCTGTAATCATAATTAAGCAGGAGGGCATAGATTAATAAAGTAGTTCGGTCTGCGATCGTGAAAGTAAAGCAATTTTCGCAATTGCCGGTCACAGGATGCGTGACCAAATCACTAGGTTGGTTTATGGTTAATCTTCCTATTCTAAATTGTGCCCAGCATTGGGAAAAAAGTGCTAAAGTTTTTTTTTATGTTAAAACGGTGGCAAACAAGCGTCCTCCTGATGATACTCGTAAGTGGCCATTATAGCAATAGACGCTTGCGATACTAAAAATATCACTTGCACCGTTGCCTATCCTTATCCAATCCCCTACCCTATGGAGCCCTGGAACCTTACTCATCGAAAGAAAAACAATAGCACCAAAAGGAAAAGTTATTTTACTGTAATCTTTTGTTGTTTCCTCAGTTGCCTCCACCTTACAAACGGACGCTCCAGTTCGAGTGGGAAATTCGCTATGCCATTGCCACCTCTGTTTGATGTTGATGATGATGATGATGACGATGAATACGATTGCCACTTTCCTCTGCCGCATTTATAATCTCCACTATTTCAATCACACTTATCCTGTTGTTAATTGAATTGGAGGAAAGGACAATGTTAAAATTGGCATAAGAACCAGCACCAATTTGGCATTTATGATAATTCTTAGTATATTTTTTGCGATAATTATCAGTATTTAGATTGTGACGGACACTTCCAGTTAAGTAAGCTAAATTAAAAAGGTAAAAAATAATCTGAGACAATAAATACTATTTAATGTGTATAATCTATGACAGCGCTGCAAACAAAACACTCTTTCTTCCTAATGCCGGCACTTCACTTGGCTATTCGTATTTGCTATTTTAAAACATGACATCAGTCTCTCCTTTTCATTCCTTATTAAGCATGACAAGGACAAACTGTTGTCAAGTGAAGGGCCGGCATAAAACTCGATACTCTGTGGTTGTGGTGCAGGCAGTTTGCATTCGTAGTAATCTGTGGCATTCGTGCATTCTAAAGAGTAGTTTAGTAAACCGGAAAGTGCATTCTCGTGTCAGATTACCTGTTGTGTGTGTTTATTAGCGATTGTTTTTCCTTTAATTTAACTATTTCGGCTATCTAATATGCCATCGATGTTACCAAAGAGCAGATGCCTTATTACCGAGTGCTAGTGAACCTGTGCCACAACATCCTGAGAGGATCATACTGCCAAATTATTCAAGAGCACCTGATACACATTCACGCTGCATATTTACACAATCTACATGTGATATACAAATAAATACAATATACAATATGATACAATTATGTGAAAAATAGTCAATAAATAAGAAGCAAAACTACAGTTTTTATTTTATTCATGATTTCTACCTAACCAAGTTAAAAGGTTACCAAGTTAAAAAAAACCAAGGTTAGGAAAACCTAATAGTTATTCTTTAAAATCGCACGGAATAAAATGAATTAGTTGTAATATTAATTCACTTTGTACTGAGTTCATACTAAGTTCATAGGTCAACCTATGTTTCTTTGAATATTAAACATAACCTCAAAAAAAAAAATAGTTTTCCTAATAATTTAAGTTCTCAGAAGTGTCCGTCAGTAATCTTTGTTTTTACAGATTTCAAACCTAGAAAATAATATTTCATGATTGTTCGTTCTTAGGCTAACTATGTATGGACGCAGAACAATGTCCTTTGCTCATTTTTATTCATAAATATTAAGAATAACTTTAAAACATATCTTTGTCTTACATATTACAGATATAAAACATGAGATGGCGTATAACGAAATTGTCTAGAAAATAATTACCTACAGAGATCATGTTATCAGGGCCAGATTTAGAAATGTGGAGGCCCTGCGACAACAAATGAGTGGTGGCCCCTAACGAGGGTGATTTAGCGTCATAGCACACATATTAACTCGGAAAGGGATGGACACCAACTCGCCTTTCGGATTGCCGTCAAACAGACTTCTACCTAACCTTAAGCATATAATGGAAGCGGATAAGCAGCTCCAGTATGTTGAATCGGCTACGGCTAGGCGACGCCACGCTTACGGCTCGCCAACCGTTGGTGGTGGGTAGGCGGCACAAGTTCGTTCAGTCGTAGAAAAAGTACGGAGTGGTTACTTTCTCTATGGACAGCACGTTCGGCAACGTAGGCAGTAGGAGGAGTGTGAAGCTAGCCTCCTGAGAGACGTAAGCTAGCCTAAGGAAAGACATAAGCCAGCCTGCGGAGAGACGTAAGCTACAGTAAGGAGAGTTGACCACGCACGTTAGGGAGCTTATCCCAAGGCGCGGCGATTACCTTACGATTCCAATTAGTTTGCGTTGCAGTATGAAGTTTCATACACAGAATACTGAACGGCTCGAGTTGATACGGTGATGATCACTTGACCTACTGAATTCAAGTGACTATGTGAAACGCCTAAAAAGATGGCAGATTCTAGACCTTGATCAGAGAATTTTAATTTTATTTCTTTTGAATGGTGATATTTAATGGAATGTCGCCTCAAATATTGTAATCATAGAGCATCTGATTATGGCTAACGAGACAATTGCAGATTAAAAATCCAAAAAAAAATTTAATTATTTCTGCTGAAGGGCCGCAGTCCCGCCTGGCCCGACTTAAATGCGGCCCTGCATGTTGTACTTATTTCTTTACACGCCACGCCCAGTGTTGTTCGAGCAATTTCGCGTTATTTACTCCAACCCGTAAAAAGAATTGCGGTGAAATTGCGTGTCGTCTGTTGGAGGCTAAACATGTTAGGGCTTTGCTCGCACTGCGACTAATCGCGAGCGGTTTCTAACCACTGAAAATGTAATTGGAATCATTTTATATAAATGCACATATTTGTTAGTTTCTTTCAATAATTAATTAAAATGGAGTCAGGTCCTAACCACCATAGATCCATGTTTATCTACTTGGTTGCGTCTCACCCCGGGAAATCAAATCTGCCGGGTTGAGTGCTGTGGGAACGTAACGCCACGCCGCTACGTTAATATTTTCAATGATTTCAAGAACTCTATTTGCAGCAAAAGCCTTTAGTTTGCTTAGATTGTTAGGAATCCAGGCCAATACTATTGTCGAGTCGCACCAATGAACCATGCGCATCGGCTGAGCTCGGAGAGATACGCACACTGCCTTGCATAATCTAGCCGCAAGGAGCGCAGCACACAACTGTTATCGTGGTGGTAGTGGTTGTCTTTAGCGGTGCGACCTTAGATTTACTACATAATAACTTCACAGTGACTTCATTTTGAGCGTTTACTGACTTTAAGTAAATGCAAGCTCCGTATGCATACTGTGAAGCGTCACTGAAACTATGCAGTTCAACATACATATGATAAGCACTTAATACAAATCGTGGTATCTCCAAATTTTATAATTTAGGTACATGTTTAGTAAACAAACCCCACTCATTTGCAATATCTAAAAGAACGGGCTCATCCCAGTCCAATTTTTGTAGCCATAATTTTTGTATTAGTATTTTTGGTATTACGATAAATGGGGATAACAATCCGAGTGGGTCTAATATTTTGAAAGCCTGAGACATAATTGACCTCTTGGTAACATTATTGTTTTGTGAAATAGGTTTAATGGGAAAGAAAAAATTGTCAGTGGATGGTTTCCACCACCTGACATTCGCTTACGGGGTGAACCTGACGCAAGCAATTGACACAAAGTTTTATATTTTTTTAACAATTTTATTCGTTTTTGTACATCTTTTGATTTAAAAACAGCACAATTATTAATCCTATGATTGTCACCGCAGATGATACACACACAAATTCGAGACGGTTTAGAATTTATGGCAGAAATAGATTTAAAATACTCGTTACGAAAATTATTGTTCTGCTTATTATATTAGTATTGTTGCTCGACGTAGCACTGTAACGCACTGGCGGCGTAG